GACAGACTGAACCTAGTGTTTGTTTGGTTTGGTTTGAATGGAGCTTGCACATTGCTATAAATGAATAATACAATGAAAACACAAAGATAAGCATACTATAATCTTCATTGTAGATGAATAAACATTCATGGAATAAAAAGTGTCTTATAAACAAGAGCAGCATGAATTCCTCATCTGCATGATTTTATAAAGAAGTGTTCCTAACCTAGTTTTACTCATGTGGCACATACAAAACTCCAAGCAAGACATTCTGTTCACATTTTAAGGGCTTTAGAAAGCATGGAACATTTGGGAGGAACTGGTGTATTTTCTTCCCTCTCAGAGTGAGGCCTACAAAACACAGACTTCCCTGAACACTGGCAGCCTCTGACCTGGCTTTCAACAACACCACTACAGCTGTGTTGACTTTAGTCCGTAATCTCTGTTTTCGCCTTTGTTCTTAATTCCCCTGCCCCTCCCTTTCTACATCGTGCTTGTATTCTGACCTAGCCTCTAAACAGAAGTCCATATCTAGCACTTTGAGTCTTTAAGCAGATGTCTTCATCTAGTACTTTCTCCTGCCCAACCTCCAACTGAAAGAAGTGTGGTCCTTTAACCAACAGTACTAGCAACACCTGATAATTTTTCAGAAGTGTAACTTTTCAGGCCCCGCTAGAAAACACTAAGCCAGAAACTCTGGGGAGAGACCAACTGTCTGCTCTTTTAAAGCCTGCAGGTGATTCTGGCTTATGCTGAAACTTAAAAGTCACTGCTCTACATACATATACATAACTAAAAGTTACTCGACAAACAACAAAGCCGACAGGCGACAGGCGATACCTTCAGTCGAGTTGTTGGCTAGGATAGATAAAGGCTCTTCCAGACAGTAACTCAACATACTACAGGAAAAATGAACAGCAGACCCCAATTCTATCCAAAGGAATACGGACAATGGATTGCAGTAGATGAGGAACAGCTGACCCTCCTGGAACAGGGACCTCTGGCTGACTAGATTTACCAGAAGGGCAGACAGGGGGGAGTGGATGAGGGTGCTGACAACACAGTGGACAGTGACAGAGATGGCAGAGTATGGAGCCTCTAGTGGGAGTGGAAGTCTGTCTATCTGACGAGTTTGTATTCA